TTAAATTGATCAGAGTCCCCCAGACTAGATTAGGATAGAATCTGCCTTGTCCAGTGTGAATTACTGATAAAGAGGTAACTGAAGCTGGTAGTACTCTAAATCACTGATTTTTCAAGTAGGGGTATGTGTACTGTTGGGCGGGGAGGGAGGCTCAATAAACACAGGCCTCCCGTGAGATAAAACTCCTCATCTAAATATTAGCTTAGTTTTACAATAGATTACATGAAAAGCACTAATGAAATAAGTACAAGCTAAAATTTCATACAGTGTCTTTTGTACTATACACTAAAATAAACACAGTACTTATATTCCAACTGACATACAATTATATGGAGGTAAGAAGAAAATAAGTGATTTTTCAGTGCGGTGACAGATTTGTACTTCTGTGTAAGCAAATAATTTACAAGCGAATATTGTAAGTAAGTGAGGTGAAATTTAGGGGTACGCAAGACAAATCCGCCTTCTGAAAGGGGTATAGTGGTCTGGAAAGGTTGAAAGTCACTCATCTAAATAGACCTAATGGTGCAAGGGACAGAAAGTCTGTCTCTGTGTGGAAGCATGTAAGGGTAATGCAGTTGCAGAATGACAGTAGTTAATTTTTACCAGGACTGAGGGTTGGCATTTCTCAGCTTGGTTCCAGGTGCACATGGGTGCAGGAGTGGGATGCAGAGTTTACAGGTGAAGGAGGCATGGTGCAGTGCAGGGATGTATGAGGGTGCCCTTTGGCTGAATAGCCAGTGCTTTATTTATCAGGCTGACCCCTGGTACCTCTTTGCATACAAATTAAGCACTGCAGGGCTATCTACTGACTCTGAATTGCAGGACTTCGGCTTTGTCTACATTATTGAGTTCTGTCAACCAAACATAAGTCAATGCCCAAAAGTGCACATAATGAAAATCAAAATATATTGTTCATACTAGCTCCCTTTGGTGATAGATCCTGTCCACATTGGGGGCACCCTCATTAATAGTGTGAGCCTGACTAGTATATGAAGAGTAAATGTGTTAGTTTAAACTTTTAGAAAACTGGTGTAGAGAAATTAGACATTGAAAAAAAGTTGCTCTGGAGTAATTTTTATTTATTTTATTTTGAAAAGCATTCTGCACAGTTGGCCATCTGTTTCTGTGTTGCATAACAGCTTGGCTTGTGTTGTGTTGTGTTGTGGTGTGTGTGTGTGTGTGTGTGTGTGTGTGTGTGTATTATAATAGAACAAAAGTGCATTGTGTTTTTATTGCTTTTAATTTCTGGTTTTTTACCACCTGGTAAAAGCTGTGTATAAACAGGAGATGATGGTAATTTTTAAAATGTGTTTTTATGATGATGAAATTAAGTCTGAAATTATGCTGATCATAATAGGATTGCTCCAGTCCTTCCTCTTCTCAGCAGTTTAAATAGTTTCCAAAATTGGGATTATAATTTGGCTTCAAATAGTCACACTTTTACGATAGGAATGATTTATACTTAAGTTAGACTTCCATTTTATAACTATAAGGGTTAGAGTAGAGGTCTGTGTGGGTTTTTGGTTTTTTTAAGAAAAGCCTAGGCCTTGACTACATGAATCTTATGTTTGCAATAACCTGGACTGTAAATCTACATAGGTAGCAGTTCAGGGAGCAGGCAGCATGTGTGGGCATCCAACTTACATACTAGCTCCTACAGAGTTGCCTGCTTCCCCGCCCGTGCCACTGTGATGTGGCTCCAGCTCTGGCCCTGGCCGGGGCCGCTGGAGGAGCAGCAACGCCGTCTGCCTGCGATGCAGCTCTAGCTCTGGTGCCAGCCGGGGCTGCCTGTGACGTGGCCTGCAGCTCCAGTCCTGGGGAAGGATTGAAGCTAGGGCTAGGATGCCCTGTTGATCCTGGGTCAGGGCAGCCGCCCTAGAGCAGCTGAGCAGTCATTGTGGGACTCTGCTGAGGAGGTGGGTGAGCCTCAGATTCTTGATGTGTGCCTATGTGGGCATGCACTTTAGAGGCAACACTAGCACTGGGTGAGCTCTCCTGGCACTCTTGCCATAGCTACTCCTGTCATGTTAAAGCACTGCCATGGCTGCATTTTAAACTTTAAAGTATAGACAAAGCCTTAGAGCAGGGATGGGCAATAATTTTTGGCTGGGGGCCACTTAAAACATTTTTAAAGTGGCCCCGGGCTCCCCTGGAAAGGGCAGGGCCTAAACCGGAAGGGGTGGGGCCAGGGTGCTTCTGGGCTTCCCCACCCACATACCAAGTTTAGTCTGTGGGTGGGGAAGCCTCTTTGCCCCGTCCCTCCTTCGCATTAGGCACCTATGCCCCTGGCAGGGAGGAAGAGGCTTTGTGTGCTCCCAGGTCAATCAGGGCCTGGGGATGGGGAGCCACGGGAAACTTCCTTCACCCTGCCCCAACCCTGCACGAGCATACGGCCCTTTGAAGTGCTGTGAACTTCTCGCAGGGTGGGAGGATGGCGAAGGAAACTTCATGTGCCGCTCCCGCCCCCAGGCCAATCAGGGCTTGGGCATGCGGGAGCGCAAGATGTCTCCTCCCACCCTGCGAGGAGCGCATGGAACTTCAAAGTGCTGTGTGCTCTTGGCAGAGGGGGAGGAAGCTTTGTGCACTCCCCATCCCCAGACTCTGATTGGCCTGGGGGCGGGAGAGCGGTAGGGCCTCTGCTGGTTTGATCAACCCACTTGGTGGGCCGAATCTGTGCCTTTGGGTTGCCAGGTGTCCAATTTTCTATCGGACAGTCCGGTATTTGCGCCCTCTGGTAGAAAAAGTCTGAAAATACCGGACATGTGCAATGTTCGGTATTTTCTGAATTTCCGGCTGGGCGCCGGACAAAAGCCTGGCAGGGGCAGGGGAACGACTGGGACGTGGGCCGGGATTGGTGCTGGGAGCCCTGTGGTCGCGTGCAAAAGCTGGGCGGGGTGGGGGCAGTGGCTGGGACTCACAGCCGC